GATGGATTCCAAAAAAACCTTTGATCTTATTTTTTCTACCTTTGTCTTAATAGTTTCTTTGTTTCTATGATTGCTAGCCCTAACGGTGCAGTTGGAGAACCTCCAACTGGTGGTAAACGTGGCTACGACGGCCGTCAATGCCCGTGGCCCCTTACTCATCAACCACCTGCATGACGTCCCGGCGCGCGTCCAGGAGATCGCCCTCCACGGCATTCGTCGTGGCACAGCAGTGGCCCTGGCTGCGACGCAGGTCTAAACCCGACACGAGCTCCGTAGCATGGAACCGGGCTTCTCAATGGCCGACGACTCTGACATGCACGATGAGTTGATCGAGGACTTCGACGATACGGCTGCAGCCATCGTGGACATTATATCCGCCCAGGATGTGATCAATAAAGTCTTTGACTAGTTTGTACTAGGAACAAACTATCAGTGAATAAAATTTCTGCTTCTCTTTATGAATGCGTTTTTGAATCTGCTGAAATATAAATCTGATTGTCTTTGTGTGTGTTTTTTTGCTCTATAGGCGATACATATCGTATCGGCTTTTCCCCTTAGGGCTGATTTTTGAACTAAAGGCGATACCCTCCTGGTACCGGCTATTAGAGTCGATGACTAAGCAAATCGGCTATCAAGTATTAATCCAAACGCTAGGATAATACTTCTGTATGATTTTTCCATTGATTGCTCTATCAAATTCCTCTTTTCTTTCTAGCGTTTCCAAAATATAAGCATTATCAGGACCTTTCCAATTAGGCGACCATTTGCCAAACCTGCTGTCTTTAGACCTAATCGGCAATCTTACCTTCCAAACTAACTCTCCTTCGCAAAACTGTTTGTTCTTGACCTTTTTATTATAATGCCTTGCAACCCTTAATTTATTGGCCTCAATATTTTTAAGAGCGCGCAGCCGATGACAACTTAAGTCCTCTAAATCATCCATCATAAGGTTTTTATAGACTTCGGCTGTTAAATCGTTTTGCAATGTAACACGTCTTGATCCAGTCTGAATCTCCCAAGGAGGAACTGCATTATGCCTATACACTAACTCATAAGGTGATGATTTAATCGATCCATGACAAGCCATCCTATATGCCCACAATGCTTCATTAAGTGTCAGGTACCACTTCCTTGGTTGCTCTTCAATTTTCTTCTTAATCAACTTAATCAAAATTTGATTGGATACCTCTGTCTAGCCATTAGCTTGAGCATAATAAGTAAAAGAATTTAGTAATTTAATTCCTATACTGGCAGCAAAATCTCTGAATTTCTCTGATGTGAACATTATCCCTTGATTAGTAGTAATGGTTTATGGAATCCTAAAACGATAAACAATATGCTCCTTGACAAAATCAACCATATTCTTGGAAGTTACTATTTTTAAATGAATCGCCTCAACCCACTTAGTAAAATAATCTGTTGCTACCAATACAAACTTGTGCCCTCTACTTGAAGGTGGAAAAATCTGGCCAATCAAATCAATTCCCCAGTCTCAGAATAGCCATGGCTTAATTATTGGGTTCATAGCTGATGTAGGCGATTTCTGAACATTACCAAAATATTGACAACCCTAACATCTCTTGTAATATTCAAAACAATCTTCTAATATTGTAGGCCAGGCATATCCAGATCTGCAAATAACCCATTTTATTTTATAAGCCGATTGACGAGCACCGCATATTCCTTCATGCACTTCTTCCATCAATACTCTTGCTTCATCTTGACTTAAATATTTAAGCAAAACTCCATTGATTGTTTTGTAATACAACTGATCATCCAACAAAACATACTTAGTCTATTTATACCTCAATTTTCTGGTAACTCTCTGTGATGGATTTTGAGGTAATCAGCTATTTCAACTCTCCAATCATTAGCCACGGTCTCACTACTTAAGATTTCCTGGAACACTCGATAGCCTAACGTATTCTGAGCTAACCGATTGGCCTCTTGATTTTGTGCTCTTGGAATATGCTGAAGAGAAGTAAGAGGAAACCCCTCAAGCAACTTTCGACATTCATCATGATATCCTTTCAGAATATCATCTTTACATTCATACAGTCCGATCAACTGATTAATAACCAACTGTGAATCTCCAAATATTTCAATTGACTCAGTCTTTACTTCCTGAAGAAGTTAAAGTCCCTTAAGAATAGCTTCATACTCTGCTTGATTATTGGTGGTCATTGGTTTGGTTTGAAAGGCAAACTCAAAACTTGCCCCTCGAGATAAAATAATAACAATACCAATGTCACCCCTTGTTTACACGATGATCCATCAAAGAATAATGTCCAAGTCATATGTTTCACATAGTCGATGCTTGGTTTATGATGTTGAGTAATAAAATCAGCCATCACTTGCCCTTTGACTACTTTAGCCGATTCATACCTCAAATCAAATTCTGATAATGTAAGAATCCACTTACCCATTCTCCATTTTAATATCGGTATTGATAACATGTGTTTGATCATATCAGTTTTAGACACAATTGTACACTCAGTCAATAATAAATAATGTCGTAATTTAATGCAGGAGAAATACAAGCATAAGCATAACTTTTCAATAGTAGAATATCTTATTTTCCGATCCAAAAGTCTTCTACTTAAATAGAAAATAACCTGTTCCCTTCCTTCAAACTCTTGCATTAAGGCCGATCCAATTGTTTGGCTATCGACCGACACGTACAACTTAAAAGGCTTACCTTACTGAGGAGGAACCAGCACAGGTGGAGATTTCATATACTATTTTATTTCCTCAAACGCTTTTTGTTATACATCACCCCATTTAAATTCTTGATCATTTTTTAACTTCAATAAAGAAGAAAACAGCAGAATCCTTTCTGACATATTTGAAATAAATTTTCTGATAAAATTAATCTTACCAAGCAGAGATTGTAATTCTGTTTTATTAGTTGGAGGTACTGCTTCATCAATCACTTTCATACTTTTCTAACCAATCTCGATTCCTCTCTCGTGGACCATAAAACCCAAAAACTATCCAGCTGACACTCCAAAGGCACACTTATTAGGATTCATCTTTAAACCATATTTTCTTGTGCATTCCAAAGTCTCTCGCAGATTAGCCAGATGTTCTTTGTACCTTTGGATTTCACCACCACATCATCAATATAGATTTCAACAATCTTGCCGATCAACTTATGAAAAATATAATTCACCTTGACAAATTCACAATTAGTCGTCGCCATTATAAGCACGTTGCCCTTATCGGGCAGGGCGAACGATTTGATTGGAGCTGCGTTTGCCGCAAAGTGACAACACCCGCGTTCGTTCCGACGCCCATGCCGGCACACCGACGTGCGTTCACTGGCGGAACCAGGGGGGCCATGCCCCCCCACACAGTGATTTTTTTGTTAAATACCCTAGAAAATTCAATTGCGTAGCTAAAAAAAATATTATTTCACTCTATTGTTATGATAAATACGTGCTTTTTCGTTATGAGTACTAAATAGATATGTAAAAATGTTAAAAAGCTATTGAGACATACATTTGTTTTACATATTTATCATGTTTACGAGTGTCTTCGTATTGTTCGGCCTCCCTTGATCAGTAGTTCTGGTTCCACCACTACGTGCGTTGCACTGCCGCCACCCCCAGCCAAGGAGGGTGCACCCCCGGCATCGGCGTCCATTCCACCTCCTGTGCCGGCACGTTCGGCGTACGTTCCGCCGCCGCCACTCCCAGCCTAGGAGGCTGCACCCCCGGCGTCGGCCTCCGGTGCCGGCACGTCCGGCGTACATTCCGCCACCGCCCGTCCCGGCTACACTGGCCCCACGCCCGGACCACGACACGACAAACCCTATCGCCATTGTTGTCGCTACGGTGGTGAGTGGTGGAGTTGCCGTGGGTGTCGGCTATGGGATACTTAAGTTGGTCGGCTTCGTCTTGAGGCTACTCCGTCGCGCCCACGCTAGGCGGACTGCCGCGTCCGGGGCCCACGATGCCGGGAACGTCGACCTCACGGGCGCGGGGCGATTGGCGCGGCCGCCGATCTAGCCGATGAGATAGCTGATGTGATCATTGCGGTATGTTGTTTGTGTTAGATTGAGACTTGAGAGTGAGACAGCGAGGGAGAGCGAGGCTCGAGAAGGGGGGTGTCAACTTGTTTTTTTTGTGTGACAATTGTCAACGTATATTGTGTTATTATAGTAGTACATGTTCTGCTGGTGGGTCTGTGGTGGATCCAAATATAAATAAAAGTGCAAGCTTTCCTGTGTTATGTGTAATCCATTTGGGCTCGAAATAAGCTGAGAAATGTGGGGTGCTGGTTGGGTTGTTCATGCCTCGAGTCATGCTAGCTGGTGAAAGTAAAGGTGAAAGGGTGTTTCTCAGTATTAAAAAAAAACTGGTGAAAGGGTTCCTTCTATAAAATAAAATAAAAAACTGGTGATTTTTTTTTTTTTTTGCCATCCCACTGTCAATTTCATCAGGTATGTTAATGTGCCGTGCCTCTAACACACACACACACGTGTGAAAATGCCTGTAATACACATTTTTTTTGTGTGACACGACTTACCCAAGCACATAATATTTTCGTGTGCCCCTCACGCACGGAAATGTGAATTGCACCGAAAACACAAATTTTGAAACCCAGAAAAGTGCAGAAATACAAGACCTAATGATCGCACAGTTTGAAATGCAGAAATCGGGAATACACCCAACACTGAGCAAAACCACTACCCGAGCCCAAATTCACAGATCAACATGAGTAGAAGTTTCTTGTACATATTTAACAGTAACACACAAGTCGAAGCCTGGGAGTATCCAAACCTCAGTAACCAGGAAGCAAGGGGAGGCTAGTTTTACAAGCTGAGTAACCCCAGTTTGACTACAACATCTGTGTTCCACAGAACAGGTTGCGATTCGCTGAGAAAACTACAGGAGATTTTTCACAAAATGATGCTAGCTCTTTGCCAGAGTATACAACATCAGGGCATCCCATGCCTGATTCTGATTGGTTCTTTGGTTGACTAGTGAGATGGTTACTCACATTGCGTACACAATCTCACCGCTGCTGTCAACATCAAGATCTGAGTCGGAGTCAAGGTCATCCATGTCGTCGTCCATGTCCAATCCATCAGCTAGGACATTTATACTGCGAGAACAGGCAGGTGGTATGGTGGCCTCTGTCAAAATCTGCATGATCTGATCCATGGTCTGCATTGGCTGATCAGGCTCCTCATATTGGTTGCTCATGCTATCATCATCCATCAGATCAGCAGGAAGGTTCTTCAGGAACCAACTATGATTCCGGATTTCAGGGATTGTTATTCGCTGCATATTTTATATAACACATAAAGACAACAAAATCAGATAAATATGACTAAACTCGAAGCAGCATATCTTCTGAACCTACTGTATCAGGAACAAAGCAAGATTACAACTACAACATACACGGACTTACCATAGCAGGATCTCCAACAAAAATCCTCGAAATTAGATGCCTGCACTCTGGAGATATGTTCACGTTGTCTGGAATTGCATACTGAACGTTCAAGATGCGCTGTAACAAGATGACACTACCATTAGTTTAGTCGTTAGCTAAAACAGGAGAATGCATTAAGTGAAACATGCAGAGACTCAGAAGTAGCCGATCTAGTTTAGAGTTTAGCTGTGTGCTAGGACACACACACACACACTCTATGACTCTCTCTCTCTCTCTCTCTCTCTCTCTCTCTCTCACACACACACACACACACACACACACACACACACACACACACACACACACACACACACAAGCGTGTGCACTCGTGTGCATTCAACTTGTATCCATGAATGGGAAAAAAAAGATAACCTGAATTGTCTTGCGGAAGTTCTTAGGCTCTTCTGGGTCTTCAAAAGGATATGCACCAACAACCATTACATAGAGGGTTACACCACATGACCAAACATCAGCAATCTGTTTGTCATAAACAAATCATCAGTGAGGAGAAGCTTTCCTCATATAGGAGGTAACCAGACAGTTACCACTAAAAGAGAAATCATAAGTGAAAGTTTTCTGTGACACATGTTTATGGAACTACAGTGCACTGATGCAGAGGTATAAGCAACTCTCAGAGACATTTCTCAAGAGAAATAAGGAAAGTGATAGCACAAGTACCTTGCCATCGTATTCTTTTTTCAACAGAACTTCAGGTGCAATATAAGCAGGTGTTCCAACGGTGGACTTCGGCTGGGAATGAAGAACAGATGACTGCAGAGAATAAAGAATGCATGGTATTGTCCGTTAAAAGGAATCTGACAACCCTATGATCATATTCATCATTCTACTACCATCGTGTAAACATTAAGCCATAGAACAACGGAACCTCAATGATTGCTAGCCACACACCCACACAAACATGTACTAGAACGCTATGCAGCACAGGCACGGATATGCATACCAGTATCAGGCAGATACACAAATACAGCATTTTTCTTAAAAACGATACACGGATACATTTTTAGTATTTTTAATAAATAAATAATAAGGCATATTAAAATTCTAAAAGCCGTAACAGACTAGCAGGAACTTTAAATTGCCTTGCATTTTTGCAATTGTGCTGTTCTGCTCATCTTTTTCATATTTCCATTTAGCCAACACTCCAACAGCCAAGCCTGCCAGCATCTCCATCCAATTCTCAAAGTCCAAACTTGCAAAATCCAAATGAGAACATAAGCGCCTAGTGCAGAAGTAGAACTAGTTAAATAGAGGGAGGATTCAACTAAGCACATCACTTTGTACTTGAGGGCGAGGATTCAGGCTTGGAGGAGATGAGTAAATCACTGAAACAATTCCTTTCCCCTTCCAGTTCCAGTTCCAGTTCAGAATAATTTGACACCGCTTTAAGCAAAGAGTCTAGATTAATTTGACATGGGGAACGGGGCAGGAAAGAGGCTACAGGAGAGAAGATGAAACATGGAAGAAATCACCGCTAACTCATCACCAGCTTGGTGCTGATTTATCACTGGTGTGTGGTGAAGCTTGTCGCAGTGCCGTGTGCGTGTGGCGCCCACAAATTTCCAGCGTGCACCTTGCAGGTGGTGTGCATCACCAGTCACAGCCGCAGCCAGCTCAAGCATGCCACCGGCGCTGGATCTCGTGGCGGGGACAGGCGAACAGCTGGACGAGCAGGAAGTCAGGCGGGCAGCGGCAGCAGTGGGCGTGTTGCATCACTGGGTGCCTGGCTGCATGGTGCGCATCAGTGCGTGTGAGTCGAGGGTTATAGTAGGCCTACTGGCCTGGACCGTATCCACAAAACCCCTCAATACGTCTTTGCCCACGTATCGGAATTGCTCTTATTTATGTTTTTCCCTGATACTCCATGGAGACATCTCCATGCTGTATCCCATGTGTATCCGTATCGGATACATATCCAATACGACAGGGGTGACCTGACATATCCATGCAACTAAGCTTGAACGTAACACATAAATATGAGCTAGAATAAGATGAAGTTGGCTTGTGTAAGAACCTTGGAATAACCGAAGTCACATATCTTCAAGCGAGGAGCATCACTCCCATCTAGAAGTGTGTTCTCCAGCTTCAGATCACGGTGGCATACTTGCTTGAAAATAAGAATAAAAAAAGGCAGCTCAGCTCAATGCATGGCATGAGTAAACAGTAACAATAGGATGGAAGATATGCCATTATATAATAACTAATACCATTGAATGGCAGTAGCTTACTCCTGAAATGAGCTGCTGGAAGAAGTAGCGAGCCTGGAAAGATATATATGCACACTTAGTAGGATCAAGAAAGAGGTGTGTCAAGAAGAAAGATGAACTAAGTGGCAAGCACAAACCTCATCTTCACTGAATCGCACGTTCTTACATATTCTCTCAAAAAGCTCACCACCAGAGGCATATTCCATGACAATAGCAAGGTGGGTCGGTGTTAAAATAACCTAGACATACAAAGAAATTTCAAAAATGTTTAACAATGGAATTCTGGGGGAGAAGCAGCATCACAATCCAGACTCACCTCTTTAAACCTAATAATGTTAGGGTGTTTCAATGATCTATGGTTAATTATCTCACGCTGGACATTCTCATCTATCTGCACATGATAATGGAATACATATTAAAGAAAACCAAGATAAAACAATTGAGGGAAGTAAGAAATGAGAACCTAGCATTTATGGTAGAAAAAAGAAAATGCACAGAAGAAAACAGATTTAAGGAACCATGGACATTGTAAATCAAATCACCAAATGAATGAGAGAGAGAAAATTCCATAAAATTAGACCTAATGTCTTGCTATTGATAGAGATCATAAATAATATTGGGCCTTTAGTATGAATTGATGTTGGTCTCTCTGGGGTGGAAGCCAAAATCAAAGGAATGTAACAAGAATCTGTTCAGCTATCCTTGGTTTCAGAAGTTCAAAATTTTATTGACTAATGATTATTTATTCTATCAAAAACTACCAGACCGGATGGCCACAACAACAGTAAATCAATGGTATTAAAAACAATGCACAGGTACCCCCAGTTAGAAATACACATGGATAAAACATGTTCATTCAGTAAAGAGCTTACGCGTCAATGCAATTGCATGCCTGGATGGAGCTGAATGAGATGGAATTATTAGTACAAGCACTTCATAGTGTATCAAAAGGATTCCACTTTGCCCCCACCTCACTACGCTATCAAACGTGTCAGCTCTTGTAGAATATCACAAGTATGCAACTACCTCAATATTAGCTAAGGGAACAGAAAAGGCTTGCAAAACCTTTTCCCAGTATAATGTGGTTTTGTGAAATTCACGCAATATTTTGTTATGTCCTAGACACATACTGTTTCAATTTCTTTTTATAAGACATACACTCCTATGCATCAAGTAGTAGAAATTAGTTGTGGCATAGAGTTATGGAGCATCATTACCAATTAGATAACAGATTTTTTGGGCCAAATCATACACCATTACTGCAGCTCGATTAAAATTCGATGCAGTATCCACAAATGTTGAAACCAGATGGATGGACAGATTTTTACATATAGGATCAATGGATCATGCCTGATGGCAGGCCCATCCCGGCGCATGTGCAACCTGTGCGCTAGCACAGGGCCCCTCAAGATTAGTCTATATATTAATCAGCATTAGTAATGTTAGCCTATAATACAAGAGAAAAGAGTAGCACTAACTATCCATATGCAAATATTTGTATTTTTCTCTTGCCACATGCAAATCATAAACTATCTTTCATAAGGGGACTGATTCTCTGAATCTATTTTTTCTTGCATGGACTAATCCTGATTTCAGCCTAAAAATCCTACTACACTATGAATCTCCCCCAGGTTTCCTTCTCTCTTTGCTTATAGGCATAGTTCTATTATCTATCCTATTTTGCTTTCTTTCACCTAGGTCCAGCTTCAATTGATTGATTGGGATCAATTTGTATTCTAGACATGTTTGCACTGTGACTATGGAAGCTACTTCTTGTTGGATCGGAGCATCAAGACTCAAGAGAAATAGAAGCCACAATACTAAGTACTAACTAGATCAATATTATTTCAACCGGCATATGCCTAGAACCAGTGGCGGATCCAGAAACGGACCAAGAGGGGGGCTAAATAATTGAAGAGTATAAATCATACTAGTCATACACTAATAGAAGGCTAAAATCGATGCGATTCTTTCAAAGTAATAATATTCAGCATTTTGAAGCAATCAGACAGGGGAGATGATTTTTTTTTATATAGACAGGGGAGATGTTTGCAACAAAGAAACTAAGTAATGAGCTGGAATAATGAAACTAGAATAATCTCATCGGGCAAAAGGCCATTAATTGAAATTAAGAAACGTACAGACCGAGGGGGCAGCAGGAGCACCGAGCAGTCGAGCACACCTAGGCTGTGAAAGGGACTATTGGACTGGATTGGAAGATCTGTTCATGAGGATTTTGGCCCACGAGGGGGGCTGCAGCCCCCCCCAGCCCCCCCTGCAGATCCGCCCCTGCCTAGAACTGTTCTTCCTGAATTTCTAACCGTGTTAATTTTGTTCTTTTCTGTTGCACCAAAAGTTTTGTTTTCTAAAAGTTGGATTTGAAAACATGACTATGCCTATGAAAAGCGTAGAAATAAAGAAAAAAGAATATGGATGCTGATTTGATTGTAGAAAGGGGCTATCAATAGGTCATACGAAGTAGTAATACAATGAATAATTATTGATGCTGTTGCTATTTATTTATTTAGTATTTATATTTGGGGCCTAAATAAGAAGTGCACAGGGCCCATATATTTTATGGACGCCCCTGCCTGATGGCTAACACCAAGCAGTAAGAGTGAAGTCTAGGCTAAAATCAGCTGGCACAGAAGCATAGTCCCAATAAGTCGTGCGGCTGGCTTCTAGAGCAGCCGAACGAGCTGTATTTGCAGCTATGTTTGGATTGAAACAAAATGGGTTGGACATTAGGAGCCTAGGAGATACTTCAAAATAAAGAATTTTTTTTCTTTTTTATGCAATGCAAAACGGGGAAACATATTCCAGGATTAACTAACTCAATATTTCTAATCCTACAGAACATATTTTTACTAAATCTGCATAAAATAAATCCAACTATATATATATTGAGACCAAATAACCTGTGAGATCGTAGTGGTGGCAGCATGTGAGTGTGGCGCTTGTGACCTGCGTTCCATCCCCAGGGTGGCACAGGTCACAGGGGCGAAATATTATTTTCAAGAAAATAAAAAACAAATAGGTAGCAGCCATGGCCACATCTCTTGATAAACTCGATAAAGAATCAAGCAATCTAGATATTGTTTATTTGATGCTGTTCACTGGTAACTCCAAGCTCACAAGTCACAACCACCTTCCAGCATCCTGCGGCATATCAAAATTATGATGTTCGCTTGAGAAAACAGGGTGATTAAATTATTATTTCGATTCAGTCCAGACTGGACCCAAATCAGCATAAGCTTGCTTGTTTAATGATTGTGGTGGAAAATGCTTAGCCCCAAATACAGCACACCCAAACAAAATTTCACAGGAACAAAACTATAATTCGTGCATACTCAGCATATCCTGCGTATCAGATGGAACAAACAGCAAAAGGCCACAGCTGATATTCACTCAAACAACAAATAATAACCTAAATGCACACAAATGTCATCCTCGGGCTGAAATACGGTCCCTACGACCCTACCCCCACGGCAGGACCCAAAGGATTCACATCCCAAATCGAATAGCCCCCTCGGAACGCAAACGCCGTGCGGTGGAATCGATGGGTTATTGATTAACTGCAGCCAGCACCGAATCGAATCCACAGGGGAGGGAGAAGGGGATCAGCGCGATACCTTCTCGCCGCGCTCGATGTACTTGACGGCGACGAGTTCGCTGGTGCGGCGGTCGCGCATGAGGCGGGCAACGCCGAAGTTGCCGGAGCCGATGTCGCGCACGAGCTCGTACCGGTCGCTGTCGTGCATGATCGGCATGTCCATGCCCGGCCCCACAGTCAGGGCGGCCCGATCCGGCGCCGGCCCTGCCATGGCCTGAGACGGCGATCAACGGAGGCTAGGGTTGGTAGTGGTAGGATTCCGTGACCCGTGGCCCCCGGCGCAGGCTCCAAGTCCCAGCTGCTCCTCGCGCTCTCTCTCACACACGCCCACGCTCTCTCGCAGTAGTCTCGCTCCTCGTTTCTTCTCAAATCGCCGAAGAGCCTGCTCTCTCTACGGTCGACGACGAGTTGGTGATGTCACTGGCCGACCAAGATAGAGAAAGGCTTTTATCACCTTGCTAACCGCTTGGGGCTTGGTGAGTTCTGCTGAAGTTGTTTTTATCGGGTGTGTCGTCTTTTGGGATCTTTGTCATAAATGGGATATGTGCTCTGAGTATAATAACTCCACTTTTTTTTGTAAAACTGTAAATGTAAATAAGTCTGTGCATTTATGCACTGCCCAAAATGGTGATCTTAAGAGAATTAAATAATTACACCATCTGTTCTAAAAACCTAGATGTTTTAGTTTTGTCCAAAGTCAAATAATTTCAAGTTTAACCAAATTTATACTAGAATAATAATTTTATATTACCAAATAAGTATCATTAGATTTATCATGCAATATATTTTTATGGTACACCTATTTGGTGTCATAAATGTTAGCGAATCTTTCTATAGATTTAGTCAAACCTAAAATAGTTTGACTTAGAACAAAATTAAAACATCAAGTCTTTAGGATGGAGGGAGTACAAAAAAAATTACTAGATCCTATGAAAAAAGAAGAGCAAAACATGTTGATACCGATATATGGCAGCAATATAAAATGAGAAACACATTTCCCTGACAAGGTAGTAATTTTGATAGTCCTTGTTTGAAAGATAAGAGTATGCATGGCTCAAACGTTAGAATTCGTGTCATTTAGGCTCAAAAAATGTTTGTGGACAAAAGTCAGATCAGGATTTCAATTGGAATGTACTGAATAGTACAACAAGAAACTGTATTCGATGTAAACTTTTTTTTGCAACTTATTACTTGGTGTGCCTCATTCTCAAGGTAGAACTAGGGAATAGAATGGTAGCTTTACTTGAGTCTAACTTCTTTCTACCATGTATAGCCAGGGAAGCCACGACCGGTGAAGAAAAAAAAAGTGACTTTACTAACTTCCAATTGTTTTTGAGAAAAAAATTGAAAATGACTTCATAGATATTGACACTACAACAACAAAGGAAAAAATCAAAATAATGCTTCATTTTTAGGCCTTGTTTAGATTGAAGAAAAAATTGAAAATGACTTCATAGGTAAATATTGACAACTAGACAACAAGTTCAAAGATTCATCTCGGATTTCTAAAATCAATTAGCTACATTTAAATAAGCTAAAAATTAAAATTGATGTGATGGAGAGAGTGAAAAAAACTTGGAATCAAACTAAAGGTCCTAGTATAGCTATAAGATAAGTCAACCACACTATGATCGTGGAGCACTTCCTCTTTCCCCTTTGGCTTGGCACTGGCGAAGCAGGCTGCCACTAGCTAGGCTTTTTATAGCTGCAATGCTAGCTTGTTTGGTACACGTATGGTCTGGCTCGCACCGGTGAAGCGAGCTGCCAATAGCCACGCTTTACAACTGCAATGCCAGCTCGTTTGGTCCACGTATGGTCTGCCTCGCACTGGCGAAGCAGGCTGCCACTAGCCAGGTTTTACAGCTGCAATGCTAACAACTCGTTTGGTCCGCGTATGGTCTGGCTCGTACTGGCAAACCAGGCTGCCACCGGCCAGGCTTTTACAGTTGCAATGCCAACTCGTTTGGTCCGCGTACTCATGCAGCCAAGCCACTGAGGGCTAATGTTTGGTTGTCCGCGGCCCACAATTCTTGCTCTCACGCGGCTTGCATTCGTGTGTCCTTCCACATCAAGAGATTTCGTTTCTCGGGTGCCAGGCCGCGTGATGGGCCGGGCCAGACCAAATACATGTAACCAATCGAAATAAATGTAACCAATCACACCCATAGTCACCGCACACAGGACGGAGCTTTGTTGAGGCCAACATGGGCCATGGCCTGGCCATGGCCACCCCTGTCCTTCTGTGATTACCACTATATATACACTATGTATTTCTTTGCTATACCATAAAATAACCATCAAATTTCCATATAATCTGTTAGTTGGCCCCTGCTGCCTTTGGTTCCATGCTCTGATAAACCAACCAATTAAAATGGAAGTTTTGCAATATATTTTGCACTATTTGGTTTTTTGAACTCTAATTTGCACAATGTTGATGAAGAACTAGATAGGAACGGGTATAACATTTGTAATCTTCCCCTCTCTCTCTTTGTGTGTAAGGGTTGACCTGATGGGTAATATGAGTCGATCTAATCGTCATGGAAGAGGTTTTTTTTTATCTTAATTAGTTGGCCTTCTTCTTTTTTCCATATAAGTATGGTTGGTAATGACCTATAAGCAAGTCCATGCTCGAAAATGAATAGAGAAATGTCACATTTTTAAGTAAAATAGATAAAATTGGATTCATGGTTTTCATGTAAACTTCTTTTGTTTGATGCCTTGCGGCATACATAATCTTGATGTGTTATGATGATACTCCTATCTCAAAATATATTTATTTTCTAGGATCTTTCAAACGTATTAATGTACAGGAAAATGACTCTGGTACCTCTATTTATCCAACCAAACAAAGTTATATAGCATACAATAATAATGTTACTTATTAATAAGTTCGCGGACAATAAAGTATTGATGAGTATACCAAATTGCTATTATTAAGTATGCACTCATCAGCGAATCTAAAATTTCATAAAGGTACCCTAAATGGTAGGCGACGTTTGACGAAGTTCATGTGAACATACATGGACCTAAGAATGCGTTACGAACTAAAATATTTAGCTGAACCATACTTCTCTTTCTTGCTAGCAACTGAAATATATTCATGTTCACAGAAATTCGCTAAGATTTAAAACTCACTAGAACAGTGAACTGCTGAACTTTCCTCCGGAAAAACAGAGGTTTGGAATTTATCGCCGATGGATTTGTCGAATTACTCAATAGAATAATAGAAAACACCAGCACTGCAAAGCGACTATTATTTCGTGCATTACATTATTTGCTAGCCTTTGTTCTTGATCACGAGAGGTTTTGTCATCCTTGCATTTTGTTGCACACGTATTCACCTCAATTCCTATGTAAAGTGGATTAGATTAAAAAATAAATAATTTTTAGCTTAATTCACTCCAACATACACGTAAATCAAGTATACCAAACAAGCTCCAAAGTGTAGTTCCGTGTCTGCCATTCGCCCATCCTACGGTGGGGTCTGCCGGCAGAAGTGCTTTTCAATCCAAATCAGGCCCTTCCGGCCTTCCCACATGAAATGAAGTTCGACATGGGCTGGGTTGGGCTGAGGCAGGTAGGGCTCTAGCGCTAATGAAACTGTTTAATTAATCAATCAAATACCTATACACTACGTGCTACTCTTTGAAAAGGTTTTACTTTTCCTGAATTATATCTAAGACGTTTTGATTTTTATAGATATATTGTTTTTACTATATATCTAAACACAGTGTATATTTGATAAGTGTATAGAAAAACTATGTACAGTTAAAATATCTTATAATTCGAAATGGACGTAGTACTAAATAGTTTTGTGCTGTGGTCGGCAAAGTCGAAACCAGTGATAAGGATGCTCCAACTTCCAAGGCTCGTCGTTTCTGTGGTCCAAGGCTTTTCCCAGCCCAACTTTGTGTAAGACGTTGTCAGAAAGCTCACAGCCCATCTCACATTCCCGCCTAATTCGGCCCATACCACTCAATAAACTAATCAACGGCGCTTGAATTTTACAGCTGACCCCAGTAAATAATGGGGAGGAGGCAAACGATTTGGGGTTATAGGCCATGTTCACGTCTCACTAACCTACAAGTGGAATTGCACCTAATATTTCCTCGATTCTTTTTATCGGTACATATTTCTCCAGAAATGGGCAAAGGAAAAAAAAAAGGAAGAAGCCCGCAATCGATCGTTTCTCACTCTTCACAATCAAATACACACCTTTTCTACTTCCAATCGATGTATATCTTCATCAAAAGCTAATACTAGTAACTCATCTTATGCGAAAGGCGGCGAAAACGGAACACGCGAAATCGTACGCACGTCCACTTAGGGAAGCGGCTGCTTTCACCAGGCTTGATTTACCGCTCAGATGCTCCTTCAGATTCTCGCTTATACACCCAGGAACAGAGTGAGAGAGAGACATCTCCTTTTTGAAAGACCCAGTTTCTTGAGCTCTTGGGGCCTTTTTTTTTAGAGAGAGATTTTCTTGGGGCCTGTTATCTGTATCAGAGTCAGCACCAGCACAAAAATGCTAGCTCACCCTATTCCAGTTTCCAATTCGCTAGCTCCCGACTGCTTGATGCGTTGATTGGCCGATCGTTAGCTGTCTCTCGCTCTGCAGACCGCAGGCTGCAGCCAGCAACAACAAAAGACCAGAACGCGTACTACCGAATATCCAGTCGCCCGCATCGAGCGGCCGCGCCGGCGGCCATGCGTTTTGCTGTCAGAAAACAGCTGACCAATCACCAATGGCAACTAACCCACGCGCTGAATTAACTAGCTTATCGTCGGGGGTACTACAGGCGCACAGCACAGCACCCCCATCTGGCCGCGGAGGTAAAGGACGGACGAGCGCGGCAGATGCTGCAAGCAACCGCAAGAATATTCGCACGCTGAAAGCGCCTTGCGAACCAAGCGATGCTGAGCCGATCGGAATCGGAATAATCCCTCCCTCTTCCCTGTGATATTCTATTTTTTTTATTTATTATCTTTTCTTTTTTTCTCGTTCGTTCACTCATGTGCCCGTTGATGCGGTCGAACGCCAGAAAATTGTTCAAAGCCAGCCGTCAACGTGCGTGCTTCTAATTTCTGAATGCGTGCCGGATAAGCATGGACGGACAGAGATAGAGTTGTTAACCATTGTTGACTCTAAACTTCTGCAAGAGGGCATGCACGAGACAAGGACGTGCAACTTATCGGAGATCTACGGGTATC